CCCTCAGCTGCCCCAGCCTTTTTTCCCCCCCGCATAGATATTTCTATATATGTGTGTGTGTCGTACACAGCATCTATTTATATAAATGTACACTCATCTCTGGAATAAACCTCTCAAACAGAAGGTAAAGGCTCCCGCCTTCAGGTACCCGTAATGTCAGTCTCTGAGGGACAGGGTGGGCAGGGGGAAGGCCTGGAGGTGGGGGCTGTGTGAGACTCACCCCCAGGCGCAAGGTGCTGCTCAGGTGGGAGGCACGCCACAGGGGGCTTTCCCTGCAGGCTCGGCTGGGGCACTCGGAGGACACCAGAGCCCAGCCTGTCCCCAATGCTCCCTGTGGGGTGGCAGTGAGGAGCGAGGGAGCCTGGGCGAGGAGCCCCACGGGAGCAGCCCCCTTACATTCTATATTTGGTCCCCCTGGTGCTGCTGGCACAGGTGGCCAGGAGGTCATTGTACAGCAGGGCGGGCACCTCGGGGACCCCTGCACCGGGGGCCTCGAGACACACACACACACACACACACACACACACATGCACGCACGCACGCACACAAACACGCACACCTACAAGCAACGTCGTCTGTCCATCTGTCCATCCATGCCAGGTCTCGGGCCTGGGCTCCTGGGCCCCAGTGGTCGACAGCACACCCACAGCAGCACGGTAGGCTGGGGTCCACGCTCACATTGCTGGGGGCTCAGCCTGCAGGCTGGTGGCCCTTCACGTCTGCAGGCCCCCGCTGCTGGGGGGGGCAGGGGGCAGCAGGTCGTGGGCAAACACGGAGTCATCGCCCGAGGAGCTGGAGCTAGGGGTGTCCTGGCCGCCAGGTGAGTACTGCTCAAAGGGCACCGACAGATCCAGGTACTCCTGCGGGCAGGTGGGTGGCAGTCAGGGCTGTGCCCTGCTGTGGTCGCTGCCGCACCTGACCTCGGGCTGGCCCTCCCCCAGGGCCTGGCCCACGGCAGGGTGTGGCACGGCCAGCACTTACATCGGTGGATGTCACAGTAAGGATTCGGTCCAGGTCCTCCACCAGCTGCTTGAAGGTGGGCCTCTGCGAGGGCACAGCGTGCCAACACTCTCGCATGACCATGTACCTAGCGGGGGGGCTCAGGTAAGGCACCCGTGCCGTGCCTGCCACGCCCAGCCTGCCAGTGTCCCCGCTGCTCTCGGGAACCGTCCCAGGGGCAGAGGTCGCAGGGGGAGAGGTAAGCTAAGTTCTCGGGGGCTGGGGCGCCCCGTTGGGGTCACTGCCAGCCGGCCCTGGGAAGGTGGCCGCGGGCGTGTCCACTCACAGGTCGTGAGTGCAGTTGGCTGGCTTGTCCATGCGGTGGCCTTCCTTCAGCAGCTTGAAAAGCTCCTCCACGGGGATGCCGGGATACGGGGAGCCGCCCAGGGTGAAGGTCTCCCACAGCAGGACCCCGAAGGACCAGCTGTGGGGACAGTGCCATTAGCAGCAGCCCACCTCGTAACAGACCCGGTGGGATGCAGGCACCAGGGCTGAGGGGCCCCTCACAGCTCCCTACTCTCGCCCCCTCCCAAGGCATCGGATGCATGGGGGGGCGGGGGGCGGGGGGGGCACCTACACGTCGCTCTGGTGGGTGTAGACGCGGTCAAACAAGGCCTCGGGTGCCATCCACTTCACAGGCAGCCGCCCCTGGGGACGGAGGGGTGTGTTGGCACCAGGTGCCCTCGGGCACGCCCCTCCCCCCACCCCTCCCCGCCACTCCAGCGGGGCTCACGTTGGTGGTCTTTTTGTAGTAATCAAGGTTGTGCACGTCACGGGCCAGGCCAAAGTCCGCGATCTTCATCACGTTGTCCTCGGTCACCAGTACGTTGCGGGCCGCCAGGTCCCTGTGGATGCACTAGGGGGCAGGGGCCAGGGCTGAGATCCACCCCGCCAGCCCCACTGTCCGCTCCCGCCCGGGGCCCCTGCTCTGCCCACTGCCCAATGCTGCCGTGCTGGCGCCCCGCCTTCTACGCCCGCTTACCTTCTTCGAGGCCAGGTACTCCATGCCCCGCGCCACCTGGTAGGCACAGGACACCAGGTCCTTGAAGGTGAGCTGCTCCTCCGGCAGCTTACAGGTGTCGAAGGAGTAGTCCATGCCCGGGGGCCGCCGGGCCCGCAGGTACTCCCGCAGGTTGCCCTTGGCCGCGTATTCCACCAGCACATACAGGGGCCCTGCAAGCACATGCGCCTCAGAGGGGCCGCCCGGCCCCGCCCCGCCGCCCTGTCCCCG